GGAAGCCCCTTCCTCTGGACCAGGAGCAGTGGGACGGTGGCTCAGAAGCCCCTGCCTCTGGGCCGGGAGCAGTGGGACGCAGTACCTTGGTCTGGTGGTCTGGTGTCCTCTGTGTCTTTGTAGTGTGGAACCAGGTGGCTGCCTGTCTACAGCGGGGTGATTCGGCGTCTTCCGTTCGACTCAGGACCTCGGTAGGGTGTGGGCAGACCTGCCTGTCTGCAGCGGGGTGATTCGGCGTCCTCCGTGTGACTCAAGACCTCAGTAGGGCCTGCACAGACCTGCCTGTCTGCCGCGGGGTGATTGGGCGTCTTCCGCTACTCAGGACCTTGGTAGGGCGTGCACAGACCTGCCTGTCTGCAGCGGGCGGATTCCGCATATTCAGCGCGACTGGGGACCTCGGTAGGGTGTGCTAACTTTTGTCATTGTAGAAAACACTGATGTTGTCATCTTTTCCATATAATATTCCTCTTTTCAGTTAGTCATTTAATTTAGTTCAGCAACTGACGTTTTTTAGACAAAGAGAAGACAAATGATTTAAAGAAAGACTCTAGTCAGGTTTTGAGCCATTCCTGTAGCTCTTACTCCTCAGCATCAACTTTATCAATCTACCATCTGCCCACATTATAACAGTTAATATGAAGAAAGATGGAGGGAGAAAATGATCTCATAGAGGTTATATGACAAATGTTTTATTTTTTAGCTACTTTCCTAAGGTTATTGCATTATACTAATTATTACTTCAATGGCATTATTCAGAGAAATCTTATATGTCCATGTTTCATAGCTTGAGTCAGTCTATTATTGCAGTTTTTGCTGCAGAATAAAGACATTTTTAGTGCTGAGAGAGTTAAGTGTCCTGGGCAATAAATGGCCATAGATAAATTAAAAAAGCTGAAAGAGGCCAATATGGAAGTAGCAGCTAGCATTCCAGTTCTTCCCCAAGGATTCACTGGAAGGTTTAAAGAAAATCCCTGGAAACAAATTGGCTCATATTTAAATGTATATAGCAAATCAAACCACAAAAAGAATGTTAATTTTTTTTGGTTTAAAAACAATTTTTGGATTTTATTTCTCATTTCAAAAACACAAACTATAAAGAAGAAAGTAAAATTTACCTGAACTTCTACTACCAGAAAGTTACAGGTAAAATTTTAAGGTATAGCCTTACATGAATTGTCACAATCTCTCTTTGTTCCTAACTTTTCACTAATTTTTAAGTTGGTCATTTGAATCTACACCTGTCTACACTTCTTTCATTGATGAATGTAAGCCATTTAAATAGAAATACTTTCAATGAGTCAGGATTGAAAATCCTGGTATGTGATCACTACAGGAAATGAACTGTTTTCAAATAAAGAAGACACAAATCACGAAGAACTATTGCTGGGTCTACTGAACAAAGATTTTGATTTCCAAAGGCCTTCCAAGATGGGTGAGTTAAGAATAAAATCAACCTTTTTCTATTTAAAAATAACATGATCTAGACTATCTTTGGACCTGCTTTCTAGATGTTAAATTAAATTAAATTAAATTAAATAACATCATCTCCCTTATATGCCACATGGAAGGCTTAGGTGTTGTCATATTTATAACTGCAATCCATGGAGTCATCAAAAATATGGAAAGTTTATATTGCTTCATTTGAGGGTCCTAATTGGATTTGTGACCATCTACTTTTAAAAAGTTACCTTTATTCATGTTTTCCTTTCATTGATGAAACTCTTCGCTGACACAATATTTCCTTTCATTCAATATTTCATCTAGAAATTGCTAGATTGCCACTAGAAATTTCACAAATTAACTACAGTTTCGTGCAGAATTTACTGACTTTTTCAATCAAATTCTTCCACTTTGGGCAACACTGTAGAAGAGACAGTGAATTGGAAATTAAACCCACACCAAGGGAGATTTCTTTCATTTGAAGAACAGGAGAATCTGAGTGGCACACATGTACCAGACTGTTCTCTAAGAAATCTGAGATTTTGTCAGAAATTTAGCAAGTCTAGCTTACAAAAAAATGTGACAATATGAAAATGTAGTACCATCAGACAATTTTTGAAGTATTTTAAAAAATATTTATATTTACAGGACAAAATATTAATTCAAGGAAAACCTTAGAATTGTGGAGATGTAGCTCAGTGGTAGAGTGCTTTCCCATTATTTTGAGTTCCACGTTTCATTGCTGGCACTAAGAAATAAATAAATAAATACCTTTAAAATAAATACTTTTATAATACCTTAAAATTAGAAGTAAGATATTTTTATTGGAGAAATAAATGAATTTATAAAAAGAAAAGCTCATCCTCAAATCATAAAACTTGGAAACTTCACTTTAACATTAACATTTTGGAAAAATTTCCTTCTGTATCAAATTATACATAAAATTTGTGTAGTGCTTTATTTCATTTAATATTGCTTCATGATGATCTCCTCATATCATGAAAAACATGGTAGGTAATTTATAATAATAGTCCATGTCAGAACTATGATCTACTTTAGAAAATTTTATTGTTATTTTTGTTAGAAATAATTATTTTCACATGATATGACTGAATACATTTCAATATTATGGGCACCGAAAGATGTATTAAGGGTTTTATAATACCAATGGATGGGTTACCTCAAATTATATGAGAAAGTTTACTTTCACATAAAATCTTGAATGAGTATCCTAAAGTAAATTAAATATTACTTGCAATGTATGATTTTCATATGACAAATGTTTCTTGCAGATGTAGAACTGGATAACGAATTAGAAGAACTTAACCGGGTGAGGTGTGAAATACTTAAATGTTCAATTTTTTATAATAATTATATGGCCATTTCTTTTTAACACAATTACTTTTCTTTTGTTTGTTTATGTGTTGTTTTTTGTGCTGGGAATTCAACTCAGGGCCTCATGCATACTGGGCAGGTACTCTACCACTAAGCTACATGCCTACTATAAGAATGGTGTTTTAAAAAAAACTATTAATACTGCAACCTGAAACTTTTACTCCTGCTAGAGAGAGTAAAGTAATTCACTAGGAATAAAAGCAAATTATGCTGAACTAATGTATAGAAAACAAAACTATGGCTGATGTGATCACAGCATAAGTGTACAGCAATCTGTATTCTAGTTAGCTCTCTATTACCTAACTATGAGATCTTGGGCTCTATTCTCTAAAAAGCTCATTTGTAAAAGGCAAAGCTATAGATTGATGTTTTCTGAAGTTACTATTTTTTTAAACAGTGTGAATCTTTTCTCCCAAAGCAAAATATCATGTGGCCTCTGCAAACTAAATACATGATAAGAGTGGAGCTACCCCACTTCTAGCAGCTGGTTTGGAGGGGCTGCAGTGCTTCTCTTTTGATAGGGAGCCTCCTTCAATTCCATCTTCTCTACTCCTTCATATGCTGTGAAGAACATTTGAAAGTCATTGGATGACATGTTTGCAATACTGCAAATACAATCAGGTACTATTCCATTATTCTTCAAATTCTATGGCCAATCAGAAGAAAGAATTATCGCCATGTTCTCTTCTGAGCAGCAAAGACGGAGACATGCAGTGGTACATGTTAGTGCATCTTTGGTAAGTTAGGTCTTCGGGGTTTGGGCAATTAGAGAGCTAGTTAAAACTTAAAGTGGGTTGAATTCTGGGTGGAAATCTTAGGGTCTCAAAGTACTTCACCCTTCCTGCTAAAAAGGACTTCAGGAAATCCAAGCATTTACATAGCTCCCTAGTGCTTCTTGAAAAGGACTGCTCATTATAGGTGACATAAAATCAAGTCTAGCTGCTCAGGCTACATTTATAAGGTTCCCATTAATTTTTGTCCAGACATGACTTCCTTTGCCAAAATCTCTTTCTTTTTGATCTCTGCTTGATTCATGTATCTTTTTCAACCAGCTTGTAGATGTAAATTTCCTGTTTTATTTTTTATTTCATTTTGTTTATTTTCTTATATTCCTATTCATTCTTTTTCCTTCATTTCTTTCACATTTCCTTCTTTTTTTTCTCTCTTGCTTTTACTTTTCCTGTATCCTTCCGTAGAGAACAGCACGGGTGATATTAAAGATTAATTAAGTATCATTTTTAATTTTTAACAGCTAGAAAAGCTAAAAGGACAACTTTCAAAAGCAAAGCATGCTGAGATATCCTATGCTATAAATGGTCCACCCCCCTCCCATCTTAACAAATGAGGTAAGCTTTCATTTCAAAGTTCCAAAATTGACTTCCAAAAGATTAGTTTTTCAATGATTCCTGATTGGGAAGAGATCAAATTGATTTTTTTATCCAGTGGTGGTTATCAAGATCAAGGCTCATATTTTAAAAAAATCGATTCCCATGACAGTGTTCCTATAGGTCTGTCCATGAGCTTTGTCATGCTTGTCACATTAAATAGAAAAGTCACACTTTCCAAGCTTAAATGAAATAGTTTCTTATTGCTTTAAACTCAGCTGTACCTCTACTCTTTTGGCTTAAACATTGATATCAGTAGGATAAAAAGTAGACATAATCAAGCTTTAAATTAAGTAAGATGTTTAGGGCCTGTTGCTTGACATGAAGGAAATTCTCATTGCTGTGATACTGGTTACGAACTCAAGGTTTGATTTAGAACATTCAATTTTGGGAAGACGATCCTTTTGGATTGCCTAAATTTTCATAACTCTTCCAAGATATTCATGTTTCTTGCCAACTTAGTTCTTAATTTTGAAAAAATTATATCTACCCTATGTTTCTTTATTCATCAGGGGTGTGCTTCTTAAGGCATATTTATTTTTACTTGTCATCCATCGCAGATTTACCTTAAACATTGTAAAAATGTAATTATAATTTACAATACTCTTAAGAGGAGAGAGGATAAACTAGCATTAAAAATTGAACATATACCAAACATTTCTTTTTTTAAAATTTCAAGATACAGTTGTTCAGCACTGAGTCTAGAACTAGATTGCCTGGGTTCATATCTTGACTTTGAGATTTCCTGACCATATGACCCTAGGGAATTTTTAACTTTCTTATGCTTTCTTGTTCATTATCCCAAATGCATATAATTAAAATAATTTTCATGGGATTGTTAGGATTACATGAGTTAGTTTACTGTAGAACGTTCCCTGATATATTGTATTATGTAAGCTTAACTCCTTAGAATTGTTTGATAATTACTACTGTAATTATTTATTCTCTATCATAGTTATATAGTGGTTATTTTCCAGAATAGAACACTATATTTTAGAGGGATGACATTATATATCCCATATAATCCAACTGCTAAATGGTTTACCTAATGAATCTGAAGGAGAAAGATGTACAAGATGAAGTAGAAGGGATTTTGAGTCTGTTGAAAGATTTTAGCATTTCATGTCCTTGGGAAACCACTGGAAAGTTATAAACAAATCAATGATCACTATAAAATAAATTTTACCAGAATCACTCTTGATTGTTTGTGCAGAATATACTGCAAAAGATGGAAGCAGAGTCTTATTTAATGAAGTTATTTTAATGGTTTAAAAGATAAATGGTGGCAGCTTGAATTGGAGTGACAGTACCAAGTTGAGAAGGGTTCTGATTCTGGGTATATTTTGAACAAAGCATCAGCAAAATTTGCTGTCAAATTACATATATAGTGTAAAAGAATGAGGACTATCAAACAATGACTCCAAACTATGATGTATTAGAAATTTTAATCCAAATCTCAGAACCTTAGTGTAGTAAAGTCCAGTGGATGTAGCAGAGTACATTTCTGTTTTGTAGCTACGCTATCCAGAATGTTGATATATCTTAATTACTTCCATGATTGCCAAGGCAGAGAGGAAACATAGACCACATGTTCTAGCTCTCAATTGCCTCAGTTCAGAAGTGACACATGTCCACTTCTACTGAAGTCCATTGTATAGAATTAGTCACTTGGGAAGTCCACCAACATACTGGCAGGACCAGCTGATAAATGTAAGGAAGTACTTCTGTTATTTCAGGAGCACTGTCACTATCACAGTCAATCTTAGTTCTCATCTAAAAACATAGACCACACTCATCCCATTGCAATTAGAGACAATTGTAAATCCCTTTCACTGAGAGCATACACACAAAGAACGGGCTTTCCAAAATAGGCTCATTAGTCTTCATCAGATACAATGTGGCTCTTCATTTATAGAACTTTTAACTAAAAAGACAAGCTATTCACCCCACACAAATCCACAGTTGGTAAAGGAACAGGGAAAAAGAAAACCACACTCAATAAGACCATTCATAATGGAGAAGAACAGGAAAAAAACCCCAGGAATGGGAGCCTCTGTCAGTTCTGAAATGTGAATGCCTCCTTACTCTGGGGATGGAGAAGGGTTTCTCGAATAAGACCTGCTAGTTTCTTGGATGATTCCTTTGCTCATTGTATTGTTTCTGAGGATTTGCTTTTCCATCAATATCCTTGAACATACATCCTACCTGGGGGAATATTCCCTTCTCATGAATTAGAATTTTCTTAGGTCTCTGAACTTTTGCAAGTGTGGTGGTACTTATTTTGTTTTAAATTACCAAAGACTTTTGAAAATTCTAGGGTTCATGGTTTCTTTGGCAGTAACATTTTTCAAAAATTTAGAAAGGATATCAATTGTTCTCTATGTGCAAATATTTTCTTAAAATATTTTAATTATTTTACATTCTCACCCCCTGCTTAATAGCAGTTACTTTGAAAGTATTTGAAGGTATTTGGAACATCCTCTAAAGGGCACATGCTGTCTGATTATTTTTCCTGAACTCTTTAAGCCAGCTGGTATATACTGAGCCTTTGTCTCTAAAAGTCATTTTAAAATTTTATTCAGTGTTTGGGATCTTGAAACAGTTAACTCACTCAACATTTCAAGACATTTTTGAACTCTCTTTATTCCGTTTTCATTTTTTTTTTTTAAAGATACCAGTTCCTTCCTGATCTCAGAAATACTTTCTTATTTTTGGCTCAGTGTATCCAAAAGCAACACAAACATAATGCCAGTTTTCTATCTTCCAACCTTTTCTTCTAGAAGTTTAAGAGACACATGATCTAAATTCTAAGATGTTTCAGATGCAAGTTTTACCACATGTTTTGCTATTTAACAAGATGGCTCTTCAATTTTTCAACCTATGATATCAGTTTCCCTGGCATCCATTAATGAGTTGATGAGAGCGTTATAGTTTAATCTCTTCTTGGATTACATCCCACTTCAAGTGATACAATGAGCTAAGTATACTGGGAGGTGCTTGGCAAACTGCTTTAACAAAATAACCAAAAAATTTCAGTGGTATAGCTTTCTATCAATTTTATTGTGAGATTACACAAAACTTTATGTATGCTGGTCATTTTTCTTCTGCTTTATGTCTACACTACGAAGAACACAAGGTGTCCAAAGTCACCATGGCAGGATAGGAGGAGTTCCAAGGAGGTAAATATGCTATAACTGCTAGAATTAGGTGCAGGATCCACCTCCAATGTGATGAGTTTTGGGGCATATGGTCAATGTAGAGAGGAGGAAGAATTAATGCTTTTTCTACCATGAGTATTTTGGACTTATTATGCCATGTAGTCTTTCACAAATCTCCCCAATAGTGATTTATGTAGACAATATCAATTTGGAATTTAGGAAAGCAACCCCGATTGGAGATAGAAATTAATGATTACCAGCATATCCACGTTTAACATTGTCATGAGACTAAGTAGCGACTCCAGATACAGAGAAAATATATCCAGTGACTGATACTCTACTCTAAAGTTAGAGACTGGGTAGATAAAAGAATATTAGCAAAATGACTGAGTAGAAGGAGCCAGCAATGAAGGAGGCAACAAAGAAAATAATATCCAGAAGTTCAGTAAGAGAACTGTTTCCTGAAAGGAGCTCTGGAAAGTTATGCTACATCCCATAAGATGACAACTGAGACATTCCAACTGAATTCAGCAATAAAATATCATTTGTTGGGCATGGTAGCACATGTCTCTAGTCCCAGTTACTCAATTCCAGCTACCTGAGAGGATGAGATAGAAGAATTATAGGTTCATGGCTAGTCTGGAGAAGTTCAAGGGCCTGGAGAAGTGGAGTCAGGGCTGCAGCACTTGCCCTGTTTGTGTGAGGCTCTTGATTGTACCCCTAGTACCAGGAAGAAGGAGACAAAAAGGGTCCTTAATTGCTTTGTCAAGAATTGTTTGATGAATTTTTGATGAAAGAGACCATGACTAAAAACTGGCATCACTGACAGTAGACGACCTCTTTGAAGAATTTTCTTCTAAAGGGTAGAAAATATGGGGACAAAAGCTAGAATGGTTTGAGTGTCAGGGAAGCTTTTTTCGTTGTTTTGTTTTTAAGTAAGGAAACATTGAAACATGCCCGTACATGATAATAACTAAGTAAGTATTTGTGGTGATGAATGTATGAAACAGATGCCCAAGTTAGTCACTAAAACTTACCCTGCACTTTGTGTGAAGTCACTGCTGTTGGCATAACTAGACACTGACTACAATAAAAACCAATTATTAAAGTGAAATGAGCCCATAAATCCATCCTAAGGTAAGAAGGATTTACATTTACTGTGAAATGTTATAATTTTCTTGAATCATTTAATATATAGTACAGTTGATAAACGCCTACAACAAACATAGCTGCCTAATACCTAGAATCATGCTAAAAACAGGGAATGCAAGAGAGAATTAGACAGATATCAAGAGACACCAGAACACTGGCTGGAGTTCTACTTCATGTAAGTGCTAAATGATATATGCGCACCAGGGAGTTGGCTTCTCTGGCAGTACTATTCGTAGCTGTTCCTTTCAACTGGGTCCAAAAAATCCTCTAAACTCTATTCCATTGCATACTTAATTGAGTTGCTCATGTGGTACAAGTCTTGGCTAAGTGTAGGTTTATATTTTTCTGCCAGACAGAGATATTCAAAGATATCCGAAAGGACAGACAGAGCAGTGATGACAACTTTCCAAAGCATACTATAAAAGAAGACGAGATTAATGGACCAAGGTCCTCAGTTCTATGTCTGAAAATAGACTTCTGCTTTCACAGGGTCTGAATGTGGTTTTCCTTAAGAAAAGCAGTGGCTCTTGTAGAAAAGAGAAGTAGAGGCTGAGTGCCATCGTAATGCTTTGTGCTTATGTGGTGAAGAGTACAAGGGTCCCAGCTTGGAAAGTGAATCTAGCTGGGGACAGAAAGCTGGGCAAGCAGATAGGCTTCTATCATTTATCTTAACCAGTGGCTGAAATTAGTCTATGAGGTTTTTGAAAAGCTCTTTTTCATTGTGCACCTTGTTAACTAACAGTAAATCGAAGACTCATCTCCAAAGGTCTTAGTTTTGTAAGCCATTTAGACAAAAGGAAATTAGAGACCATTTATAATAAGTTAGACAAAGCTGTTGTAAGGCAATCAATTGGGAATGGCCTACAGGACATTTATAACGATTCATTTATGCAGCTGGAGATTGAAGAGGCACTAAATTTGGTTTGTGTGAAGCATCATTTTATGGTCAGAGTATGGAAACTTAATGTGGTAAAGAGTGAATCTACTTAAATTTATTAGATGGTTTGCAAAGTGATATTTAAGCTCTTTTCCTTCCTCTTTCCTCAATAAATAGAAGCACGTTTAGCCCTTTTACTTATGGGACTTCCTCTTTGTGTGACAGACATGTGAGTCTCCTAGGCCAGCCTACTGTGTCTGGAACTCGTGATGTATGGTAACCACTGTCTGATGGGTCGCTCTTTGACAGTGCCATTCTCTAATTAGCAATGCCCATTCTGGTAGTCACTGGCTAAAAGTCACTGCCAGTCACATGACACATGATGATCACATGATGGAGAAGCTGAACTTTTTATTGCTTTAAGTTTAATTAATGTAAATGTTCATGTAAAAGGAGTAGGTACTATATTGAACACACATTTTTATGAAACTCCTTAGTAGACTGTTTCATTCAAATATAAGGTTTCATAAAATACCTTTCTAATAAAGAATTTCTTTTGTTTTCTCCATTAGCTTGCTTTTGGAAATACTGTGTCTAAGGCCTTTTCTCTGGATGCTGAAAGATAAGAACACTATTAAAAGATATCAATATATATTCTACTACTTAAAGAGAATAGCTCTTTTAAACATAAGGACACGGTGGCACTTTTTCTGCATATTATTTTCTTTCTCTGCTAATTTATTATAAAATGTGTTATGATATCGTTAATGTTTATATTGTGAATAATGACTAATCAATTGCACTGTTGAGTGACATGAGACTGGCAAAATGAATTTTGAGCTAAAGTTCAGAGTGCTGTTATCTGTTTATGCTTTCCATAAATTCATTGCCTATACATAGTTTTGTCTTGTGATGACTGTGCTGTTGAGCTATCAATTAAAATATTTTAAAAAGCATCTTGGAAACTTACAATAATTTCTATTGTCTCAATTAGTATGAAAAATATGGATGATTGTTCTTTCTCTTTTTCGTGATTGTACTGGTCACCCTCTTTGTGTAACCAACATATTGGCTTTCTCTTGCTGGGTTTTTGTTCCACTGATCTTGCTTACATCCGTAAAGCTTATTTAATCAACCCAAATCTGGGAGTTTAACCTTAATTCAGCCTGCCGCTCATGTTGGCACAGACACATTGTCAAAGTAACATCAATGAGTAAATGATAGAGACTAGACAAGTGTGTGATGGCTGAACAGATGAACAAACACACATTCTTCTACTTCATAGTATGGGGAAGAAATGCAGGTTTATCTGTATAGTATGAAATGTATAATGTTTTGAAGATAAACTATCTTATAAGATAGAATGAACAATATTGCTTTAACTAAAAAAGGTAGAAAAATACCATAAAATAGACCATCTTGAGCACCTATAGAGAGCACATAAGAGTTACTCAAGTGCACACTAGTAAAAGCTGCACAGTGATGCCCCTAAAGATGCTCCCATGTATTTACAACTGTTGTGTACACAAACACAATATTGCCATAAAGAAAGGGGAGAAATGGCTACTTTCATCTCATGTTTATTAACTCTGGAAAGGCTGAACAGTATTCATGCATGCTAAACATTTAGATATAAAGCAGAATGCTATTCAAAAAGCTGTTGCTGGCTTTTCTTTTGGGAAGATTTTGTTTTTAAACAATTCACTTTAAGAAATTTAATTCTCTGGAAGTATGTATAAATTAAAAGTTCAATTTGACAGACTTTATATAGTATAAAACAATGTAGCCAGGAATTAATGCTCCCTCCAAAAAGTTGGTTATGTAACTGACACTGGAACTCAGAAATCCATATCCACATATTCATTTTCTCCATGAAGCTCTACACAGGAACACAGAGAAAAAAAGGTAATGCATCATTTTGAAATGTAACAAAATCCTTCAAGTTGGGAGCTTCCAATGAAATATAGTTAGATGTAGAGACATGCAATGCATTGAACGAATAAATGAGATGAGTCGTCACATTCTTAACAGAAATGAAGTCTTAATTTACAATTATGTTAAAAAGACCCTACTTAAGCTAGTATATTGTTGACTCATTTTCTATTCTGTATAACGTGGTGGTAAAAATTAAAATATGAAATGAAACAGTTGTAAGTGGCGAAAACATTTTTTTCTTTTTTCTTCATGAAAGTCTTGTGTATATATTATGAAACAAACATACTACACATTAGAATGGAACAAAAATCAAAACACTGTTATCTCTTCATTTGGTTAGAATGGATATCATAGTCTTATTTTGAATAAAAAAGAATACAGAGAATCAATCTGTTAAATACAACTTAAAATCTTTACCATGAGAAATTTTTAGGCTAAAGTGAGTTTTGGTAGCTTTTGTCAAAGCACAAAGAAACACCTGGTTGGATTAGAAGCTTGCAAATATTCAACTGGGAAAGAAAGGAAAGAAATATCTCCTGAGAAATAGGAAACAGTTTTGTAGTTTATCAAAAGTCTGGAAAAAAAGGTGAACAAGAAAGATTGTTACTTCTAAAATAATTTGTTCAAGCTGTGATTTCTGCCAGTATATATCCATGGACTGTTGGTAGCTTTCTAATACACATTTATGAAGAATATGATTATTTAGTTTTCTCTAAAATATCTCTCTTTATTACAGTCTTCTACTATAATTAAAATATACACTCATTTACTATTTTGTTTCCTAAACTTTAATTAGAAGATTTTTAGCGGTTTGAAAATTTTCAGGGAAACTAAGAAATTATATATTAAAATCTCTATGTGTGTCAAGTACTCATGTTCATTTATTTCACCATTTTAGATATTTTAAACTGGATTTTTAAAAGACATTTTGGACAACAATGATTAATCTTTTATAAAAGTCAATTATTAAGTTAAATTCCTTTCTAATGTATTTTTGTCACCACGATGTTTGAGTTTATTCTTTGAGTTGTATGTTAGTTAATCTTTAGTTTAGATTGTCAGGTACCCATTTCTCTTAATATGAAGACATATTCTTGCAACATTCTTTCTTTTTATGTTGAAATAAACCTTTCCTTTTCTAGACAAAACTTCTTTCCTTCCCACATCAGGTTTTTCTGGCAGTGATTGCTGGTTTTTAAAGAAGAAACACATTCCAGGGTCTCCATGAGCTTCTGCTAAATAACTAGTGCTGAATCTCTAATGCATGTCCTAAGTTGTTTTTTGTGTGTGTTTTGAAAGCTTTTCTGATGCACAAAGGGCTTATGTGCCTAGACTACACTAAAATTAGTTACTGCTGACAGTTGAGCTTTCTAAACTATTAATCTTATGCTTTGATAGTTTAATTCAAGGCTTCTGATTTATTTAAAGGAAACCACATCCAAATACTTAATCCTCTTCAATGCTTATTAAGTACAGTGTATGAAATATTAAATAATTTACTAGAAGAGCTAGTAACTTGAAAAATATCGCATTTTAACTTAAATGAACTGTATTAGTTTAAGCGGAACTTGTTTTATATTTTTCTGGCTCCAGATTGCTCTAGGGGTTCATTTGCTACTTCATGATTCTTTAACTTCTCCTCTACTTTCATCTGCTACTTCTGTGTGAGGTTAATCCCTTCATAATGAAACATTACTGGTCTTAATTAACTATTAGTTAAAATTCAGAGAAATTTCACATAGGATAAGAGATCTTGAAGTTTAACAAAAAGTAATATCCTTCATTTCCTGAATTCTAACTCACTGAAGCTTCACAGTTCACTAGAATCATGTTTTATTTGGTTAAACTTCACTGAAACTTGACTATAACAAGAAAAACCCAATTTCATTAATGCAAATCAACAGATTTGTAGAGAAAGAAAGAGGTAAAAGCACTCAAGAGAAAACACACAAAATTGTCATTCCTTATTTCCAAATAATAAACAAATAGGTTGTAGCTAATTTTACAGAAATGAATCTTTCATTATTATTCTTTAACTGTGAATAAAAAAGAATGGTAAATATATGGAGAAGGCACTTTATTATATATTTTGACTGTTATTTTTTAAAGTATGATTTAGAGGGCAGGTAATCATTTCTGAATAATTAAATATATTTTTAAAATATACACACATTGAAACAATCAGCACAATTTAATAAAACCTAAACAATACTATGCTGTGATGTTCTAAAGTTCAAGCTTTGGAAGGATTTGCAGAAATCAGTTAATTAAAAGTTTAATCATTAAAGAGTATGAAGGACTTCACTGAAGCATCTTCTATTTTCTGTGACATTTCACATGAGACATCTGGATCTGCAAAAATGAAAGCTGGAGTTGTTAAAGCTAACTAGAACTCTGTAGATCAGGAAAAATACATTTGCTTTAATAGAGAAGAGCTAAACCAATAAGTACATGATGTTTCATTGTAGTTTTTATTTCCACGGCAAGTTTTTATTTTGAAGCTAGTAAAACATTATAATTTCAGATTAAAATGTATTAAAACAAGCATTTTTAATGTGTGATCGAGGTGTTTATGTTCAAGTTTTAATAGAATTATAAAATGTCTTTGGTCCAACTCCTTTCTTCAGATATCTACTATCTATTTTTTTGAGTTTTTAATCTTGATTCAAAAGATATTACGATGACAAAAGATAGATAAAGAAAAGCAAGCTATAATGTTCTGTTTATTGTTAAAGTAGCATATTGACACTTGTATACTTTGCTCATGTTAGGAGGATCCAACGAGGCCGGCAATTTAACTCAGTGGTTCCGCCACTTGCAAGCGCAAGGTTCTAAATTCGATCCCAGGTACCAAAAAAAAAAAAAAAAAAGAAGATCCAACAATATGCTCGTATTTACACATAATATTCCTGCTACATTTGAGAGTTATATTAATTTGTTTAAATGATGGTATATCAATATTTCTCTTAGACAAAAATTGCCATTATAAAAAATCTCCTATTATTAAAAGAATTGTCATAATACCTATGGTATTAAATGGCAGGATAATTAATCATCATATATCTGATTTCACCAGATAGGTATCCTGATGCCAATGCAGAGATAGAAAACTTACTAATTGCATCAAGAGCAATTATGAGAACTTAGACCACAATGCCACTTTGAATTTCAATAAAGCATATTAAAAATTCGAACTTTGGTGCAATATATTAAAGATTTGTGTTTCTGTAAACATTGGTACGCATAATAGCTAAATCATAATAGCTAAATCTTGAAAGCACCCTGTACGCCCATCAACAGACAAATGGATAAAGAAAACATGTTATTTATACACAATGGAAAACTATTCAGCTACAAAAAATAAATTCAAGACATTTGTAGGAAATGGATGCATCTAGAATATATAATGTTAAGTGAAAGAAATCGGACACACAAACTTAAATACTATACGGTAGCTCTCATTTGAGTAAGACAAAGTACAAAGAGCATAATATATGATGGGTAGAAGAAAACAAGGGAGAGGATCTCTTGCAAATGGGAAGGGATTCAGGAGATCAAGGGAGAGGGGAGAAAAGGAGAGCGAAAGGGGAAGTAAGATGAATAAAGACATGCCATGAGCAAGAACCTAATAACCTCAATGAATGTAAACATTATGCCATAAACACTAGCTAAGAATCATAATAAGAACAGGAATAAAAATGTAGAAAGGGAATTCAGAGGCAGAGGGAGGGTGGGAAGGGGAAAGGGATTAAGAAACAAGCTGTACTATGTACATGCACCTATTTCCCAAGATGAATATAAACTTCATATACTGCCATCATGTACTAATAAAAGATTTGAAAAAAGATTTGTGAAAATATCAGACCATGTTTCTTTCCAAAACCTGTATCAGAGAAGACATTGGAATCTGGTTGGAAGGAAACAGGGTAACATACAGCTGCTGTATCTAGAGTTGACCTCAAACCAAGCAGAACTTCCACAGTTAAGCACGAGTTTCAGTTTTAGGGTGAAGACGTAAAATAAAGGCCAGAAGGTGAAAACCCACAACTAAACCTGCTTCAAAAGAGAGTTCTTCAGCACCCACAGAAACGAAACAAGGATTTTCGAAACACTGTTTCTTTATTTTTTAGAAATGTCAACCAGTGAAGTTAGCATCCAACCAGGACAATGTAGTCCCAAGCAGCCTTGATGGGTCATGAAGAGAGGAGTGACCTACAAGGCCAATGATCTGGGTCTTACAGCTCACTGTGGGCAAGAGGGTAAAAAGTTTTGGATAAATCAATTTTCTTTTACACCCCCTATTTGCTGAGGTATTTTATAAACTAGGATTGGATGAAATAAGATTTTAAGTTCTTGAATCTAACTACTTAGTGGTGTAAGTATATGAGCATTATTTCATAATTATTAAATTTTACCTATTAAATGATATGCATATTACATACCCTGTCTGACTCAGGTGATACAGTAACAGTAGGAATGAATATATCAAAAATAACCATGAAAATTTGAATGAAAATTATAAATATATTAGTAATGTATGGGTTTTGTTCTTCATGTAAAAGCCTGCAATTTCACACAAGGAAGTAAAATAATACCTTCAAAATCTTGTGATGATTGTGGTAAGTAATAAATAGAAATGTAATGGTTGAGCAGGTACACCCTTAGTGATAACAGAAGAGAAAGAGAAAATATGTGACATTAAGTTATTTTCTAAATCTATTCTTTTGTGATATTGCTCTTAAGATTTGATGGTAGCAAATCTTATTAAGATTTAATAACAATGATAGTCATTATCAAGATGGTCAAAGTCTGTTAAGAAAAAGACAATGTATTGATTTGGACTTCACCCAACATAATTTAGGAAACTACCTCAACTTTCTTTATAATTTAGTGACTGCCCAAAGTTTCTGTGGTCTAAGACTTCATTTGAATATTCATATGAAAATGAGTTTCCTTAATAGTTTTATCATGCTTGCTTTGGTTGAATTGCAAAATATTAAGATGAGTGATAATCAAAAGTAGCAAAAATGCATGTAGAAAACAACCAACCTTAATTCTTTTAATCTCAGTGTCACAAAGTTTACACACCCAGAAACTGGAGGACAGGAAGTCGACATTTGTTTTTTCATAGTACTTAGCTTATCCTTACTCAAATACAGAGTAACGATTATTAGCAAGCCCAAGGAATGACCACATTTGGTCTATCTCTAGGTGTGAAGAAAAATATTTCAATCTGAGTTTTGAAGATGGTGCTATTCGAAAGGCAGCATTCTTGCCTGTGTTCAATATATGCTCCTGTGTTTGTGAGCACTCAGTAACTGCAAGACATCATTAATCAGCAGGACCCCATAGAACAACATTTTTTCATTAAATAATTCTGATAAAAAACATGGATCCTTTCTTGTGTCTTTAAAGGCTTTGAGGAGAAGGGAAAATGGAGTGATCTAAATTATGAAAGGGTCAGAGTTAAAGTGGTAATTTTGGGTTTCTGCATCGATGGTCTGAGGGTGCCTGTGAGAGAAGTGGAGGACAGCATTTCTTCTTCTCTAGCCTGAAACTTGACAGAAAATATCTCACCTGGATTTCAGTCAAGAAATACAAAAATGAATAATATTCATGATTAAAGTAGTTGACATATAAACTCAGAAATTAAACTTTCTGGATTTTAATTCTGTATAACTTTCTGTCTTGACAGAAACAAAATAATGCATGAATGAGTGATGAAACCAGGATTTGGATGAGGTGTTTGATTCTTGTCTAATATTCTATTACTATACCATTTTCTCTCTGAAGTACCATACCATCATAAATCCATAATATATTCATTGATAGCAAATTGATGCATATGCCTAGAATGTGTATTCTTTATAACAAAGGGATTTTCATATACTTATATAGATTTGTGAAGGCTATTTAGTGTGTTAATTAGAATTTCAATCCTCAGTTGCATATTAATATTTATAACTATATAGAGGATTGTGAAAATACCCAAATCATCTATTTTCTTAGCTTGAAGTAGATCTAGGACATTCATTTGCTTTCTGAAAATCTCTTAAATTATTTATCATCAGTATACTAATCGAATACAGAAACATTTGCAAAAATGTATCTATGAGCTAAGAAGTCAAAAGGATGATTTGTAAGCCAGAAAGTATAAATTAGTCCATTGTGGAAATGTTTAATCAAATACCTGCACACCTTGCTACTTATTGAAATTTTACTCACTATTGGAATCAGTTAACCTCTGGAGTTTGAAAGCCGGTTTCTACCAATTCGATCCACAGGGATACCAAATCGCCTTTTTGAATGATGTGCTGCCTTCCTGGAACAAATCAAGGAGAATATACTTAAGCTAAAATTGAATTTGTTCATCATTACTTTTTTTCTTTATTACATGCGATCTGGGAACATTGGGAGTTGGAATAAAAAAGATAGTTATCATTTATCAGCTACCATTCTCGCATTTCTGAACATCTGTTGAAGTAAGCATGACCCCTGCCATTTCGTATACAAGAAACTTGAAGTTTAGAAAATCTAATTTATGAAAATTCAAATAGATCAGGTGAAAAAGTAGGTTTTATCAGCATACTAATCTAACTGAATGTTTTTGTGGATAAATCTTTTCCCCTCTTTTGATTTTTTTGTTGTGGTTATTTTGTTTTGGTTTTGAGATAGGGTCTTGCTATGTAGTTCAGTCTGGCCTTGAGCTTGCTATGGAGCCCATGCTGGTCTTGAACTGGCAGCCATCTTCCTGCCTCAGCCTCCTGAGTGCTGGGATTACAGACTTGGACTACCATGCCTGGCTTCTACTTTAGATTTTCTTCCTTTGTTAATTGTGGAAAATTGGATTGGAGTAGTGGTTTTTCCCAAGCTGCCTTCTGGCAAAGGAAAATGGGAGAAGAGAAAGTGGTATAGATGCTAAGACTGAGCTTGTCCTGCATCTCTGAATGTCACTTGCAGTTCACCCAGGTAAGCCTTGTGTGTGCTGGTCTGGGCTCACTTATATCGTCTTTATGTTAAATATTGTTTAATAACTCTTAAACAGGTTCATTATTAAACTGAAACTTGAAAGAAATCCACACAAAAATGCAAGAATGCTATCTTCCAGTTTACACTTTTATATATTGACTCTTTAAAAATAAAAAAAAAATTGTTATTTGATTTGTTATTACCATTATGTAATACTTTCAAATCAAAATCCAGAGGATGTCTAAGAATGTAAAGTGTGTAACTTTCATGGTCTGGCTTTGGAGTGAAGAGGAATTTGATTCTGTGTTGATGACAGAAATAGGCGGGATAAGCTAAGAAGGAAATGAAAGTGACTTTTCTCACACCACCAGGTAACTGACTTCCGGATATGTTGAGTTTTTCATTGGCTCACTCATGTAGAAAGGAAATACTACATATAAACAAACGATAGGGATATACAGATTGTAAGTGGAATAATCACCCAGTGCCAGAAACACAAAATTATCAGTAATCAAGCAGTTTCAGTACAGGAAAGACTGTTGACAGTTATTCTGTTTCAAGTTTTTGCAAATGAATGGTAATGATGCAGTTCCTTGTTTGAAAATCTCAGCGATGAGGATTTATTACCTTACAACTTAGTTTTCAACAGCATAGAGGTAAAATAAAAAAAATTTCCTTCAGCACATTTTCAATAGCTCCTTTACTTAGTTAGAAAACTAATTATTTGCAGCATACTGTTAATCTCCACTAAACAATTTAAACACTAAAAATGAATCAAAATCCAAATTTTTTGAGAATTTTTGTACTATCATTTAATCATTTTTCTTATTATACTGTAATTTACCACATACCTACTAGCTCTGTATGAGATTCTTGTTGTGGCTTTCCTTGTATAGATGAATCACAAATAGTTTTTGCTTTCAAAACCCATTAATTACTCTCAGGAGTAATATGATGTAATGCAAATAGTACAGAAAAAAATCTGTCACTTTGACTGAGACCAATTTTTTCCTTACACAATGCTCCTGATACTATAATTAAATAAATAATTTATTGAAAGGCTCTGAAAACTATGGAAACAATAGGTATATATTACATTTTCATTAGTGTACCTTGCACATAAAAATCTCTAATCTTTGCTTTTTTAAAATAATGAAATGAGGAATATTAATATCTACGTAGTTTCTTCTATGTGCCTGGTGCGGTTCACAATGCTGTGCATTCTGACATGATGTTTATCCTATAACATTTAAGAATAGTGTCATGTTCATTTCTCCATCTTGCTGATTTATATCCATCTTATTTTTTTAGTCTGGCTTTTGGTTTTATTGTCTGATTGAATAAATGTATGAGTTTATAAGAATTTGTTTCCTATATAGCAATTTGATCAGTTAATTAGATAAGGAAAAATTTGGGAGAAAAATATTTATTGCTTAATCTTACCATATCCACACCACTGCCTTCTTTCAGATTTTTGGAAAAACATACCCTCTTCAGTGTTATCTATTTTCTGCACTTTTGGACTTTCTGATTACAAAGTGACTACACAATTTCCAATTTGTTAATCAAATGGGAAACTATTAGCCATCATATTTTGTTATAATTATAAATAATGACTGCTTAAAAAGAAAAAGCTCTCCTTTACATTTCAAATTATCTTTAATCTACACGAGTAAATTTATAGTCATCGATTAAACAAATATTTTCCTTGTGATAGTTAGAACAATGGTTTCCCACAGATGTTCACCTCATAATTCCCAGAATGTGTAAAGAAATTTTTGCAGAAACAGTTAAGATTTAAGACCTTGAGGTGAGAAGATTGTCTTGTACTGATTGGTCCCAATCTAGCCACTGAAGTCTTTAAAAGTAGATGATCCATGGGCCGGGGATTTAGCTCAGTGGTTCTGCTGCCTGCCTCTCAAGCCCAAGGACCCAAGTTCGATCCCCAGTACCAGAAGAAAAAAAAAAAAGTAGATGATACTAAAACAGAGTAGGTAATACAAGAACAGTAACTGATAAGGAAGGACTTCACCCGCCCTACTGTTGCCATCTTTGATGATGAAGAAAAAAGTCTTGAATTAAGGAATACTGTGGTCCCCAGAAGTTCTTGAAAGAAATAGGGACCTCAGTCTGACAAACATAAGGGAGTGAATTCTACAAACAAGTTGAATGAGCAGAAAATAAATTCTCTCCAAGAGTCTCCAGGAAGGCTCACAACCTACTGACTGGATTCCCTCTGTGTCTCTTAGGGCTTATGTCTAAGTGTAGAGTGTTGATATATAGGAAATGTTAAACTGGTATGATTTTTCCCCTTGTATCCTTAAATTCCTCTACTGACTCTTCCACCATTTTACCTCCAGGAAATGGGTAAGAAGAGCCAGCTCAAGATGGAGGAGCATGCTCAGGGGTAGTCTCAGACAAAAAGAAAGAGGAACTGAAAAACCAACCCTTCAGGTATTTAAAGGACTGTGAAAAGGGGAAGGAACTAGCAGCAGGGATAAAGAGCCACATGACATGGGCATGGGTTTCCCAAAGAGTTGATGTCATAAAAAACATCCCTTTCCTTTCTAAAAGAGAAATGTGATGTTTTCATAAACTATTTACATTAAAATAGAATGTTTACTGGTTCTTATTATCAATTTAGGTTTTAAAAAATGAAGTTAAAAGAAAAGAAAGTAACATTTTGTTTTCTTACTTTACTATAGTTTATCTTTTGCTGCTCAAATAAATGAGAAGCTGCTGTGATACCATTGAAAATAAAATAAACATTTTCCCCTTCTTACCTTCCTTCCTTTCTTCCTCCCTCCCTCCTTTCCTCCTTCCCTTCTCCTTCCTTTCTCTCTCCTTCCCTCTTTCCCTTTCCCTCCCTTTTCCTTCCTTCCAACCTTCTCTCTTTCCACCCATTTTTCCTTCCCTTCTTTCTCCTAGATATGACCCCAAAATTATTAGAACCAAAAAATGAGGACTTGGGCTCATTTGATTATTTTACTTACTGTTAGTGTGATCTTCTATAAGTCTGCCATTCTAAGCTTCTTTTTCTTTTCTGACAAATATTCAATATACTTGCTTTTTCTGTCTTCTGATTTTGTTTATTTATCATACTTGTTAAAACCATTTAATTCTATTTGTTTAAACAGTATTTGTTCTATGCAATGGCAATACAGTAGCAAATAACGCATATTTTACCTTCAGAGTGTACAGTTTACATTGAAAATATCTAAAGAGATAACACATAAAAACATTTCATACATTTTAACAGATATTATTCTACCAGTTTAGTCCACTGGTTTTCATATTACATGTAGCCTACTTTGTCCACAAATACAAGTTTTAAAAAAGTGCAATATCTAATCAGTTAAGCAAATCATGTCAGCAGAAAGGTGCCTCCCCTCTCTACAAAATGGCCCCTGAAAGAACTTCCAGAAACAATTTTCTTTAGAAGAAGGGGAAAGGTCAAGTGGGTAACATCTCGTCTGCACATGCTTTTACTCCAGTAAAAGATTCATAGTTACTTTGACTTATTCTATTAAATTTGAGATTGGTTCCAAATGTTCACAGGTGTCTAGAAATTGAATTTAAATTTAAGACAATAAAACAAATTTATGTATATAATATATACTATATATATCTTCCACTCAGAATTTAAAAATATAAAAATAAAGCATATTATATAAAAAGAATTCTTTTCAAATAGTACATAAACAGAAATTATTATAGTTCACCAAGCTCAAATATTTCTCCGCATTCATTATTCATTCAGAAGTTAAATGGCAACCTGGTACTGTAGTTAACATTTCTACGGATATGAAATATATATAAAAGTACAATACTCTGTGACACATGGAGTGACAGAAACACAAAATATGGAAAAGAACAAGTGATAGAGAAATAGTCTTAAAACCAAAAGGAAAAGCTACACTCTTTGAATATCTAGTCCCTCTTGTGACAAAATGATGATATGACATGGCTTATATGAATTTAAAACAATTCACCATTTTCATTTGAAATACCATGTTTAAGGGTATCCAACTGATATAAAGAGAAAGATAGATTGTTTATTTCAAGTACAACTTTAATATTCAAGTTAAAGTATAGACTTTCTGTGTTAAATAGGATTTAAAAATATTTATATCCTTGAATAATCCTATTTGAACATTCTCAAGAGGTAGTTAAAAATATATTTAAAGGTATTTAGAATTGCTTAACACAGGAGCCCATAAATTTTTCTACTCAGTTAAAAAAATGAAAAGAAACATCCCTATTTGTAACATCAGCGTAAGAAATCAAGTATTATCAGCACTTTGTGCATCCTGGTAACTTCCTTCCAGACTTCATGCCTCTCATAACTCTGTT